TGGGAGGGTGGGTGGGTGGTGGGTGGATGGATGGATGGTATATGGATGGATGGATCCATGATGGTTTTTAGTACAGGATATCACTATGTAGCCTAGGTTGGCTTCTAACTCACAATTCTCCTGCCTCTGTCTCCTGAGTGCTGGGATTACAGACATTTGCCATCATGCCCTGACTTTAGAATGCTTATTTAATTTAAACAAATTATTTATCAAATTGATTTTTTTTTGTTGGGATTACAGGCACGAGCCAGCACACCCATCTCAGAATGTTTAAAATGTTCAAGTAGCCAGGCGTAGTGGTGCATGCCTTTAATCCCAGCACTTGGGAGGCAGAGGCAGGCAGATCTCTGTGAGTTTGAGGCTGCCTGGTCCACATAGTTCCAGGACAGCTGAGGCTACAGGGAGACACTGTCTCAAAAAAAATGTTTTAGCTCACAGTCTATCAGAGGGTGCTTTCTTTCTTTCTTTCTTTCTTTCTTTCTTTCTTTCTTTCTTCTTTCTTTCTTTCTTTCTTTCTTTCTTTCTTTCTTTCTTTCTTTCTTTGTTTTTCTTTCTTTCTTCTTTCTTTTGACTCAGTCTCATGTAGCCCAGGCTGGCAATGAGCTTGCTATGTAGCTAAGGATAACCTTAAACTATTTTTAATTATATTTACTTATTTATGTATGTATGTGTGCGTGTGTGTGTGTGTGTGTACATGTGTGTACATGGGCATGCTTCAGTGTATATGTGGAGGTCAGAGAACAACTTCTCTCCTTCCACTGTGGAAGAGTGGATTGAACGCTGGTCATCAGGCTTAACAACAAGTACCTTTACACTTTATCTTGCTGCCCCAGGCTTGAACTTCTGATCTTCTTGCCTCTGAGGGTTGGGATTACAGTGTGTGTCATAACACCCAGCTTTATGTGGTGCTGGGTACTAAGCTCAGGACTTTGTGCATGCCAGGCAAGCACTCTACCAACTGATCCACAGCCCCTGTGTTCTGCCCTCTGTTCCACCTGGAAGGGAATAGGGCAGGCCTGGGGCACTAGAGTCCCCTCACCTCCGCCGCGTGATGGTACAGTGGTTAGACTAGGCAGCACAGGCCCAAGACGCAGTGGGCTTGGGGTCCTCTGGGCCCACCCCCTGCTCTCACAGGAGGTGAAGGGCCTGTCCTTCCTCTCTATGAAGGGGCAGAGACACAGTGAAGCCAGGCTCAGAACTGAATGGCTGGGCTTGGTGCTGGAAAGCCTCTCACTACACCCCAGCTTCAGAAAACTTCCAGTTCTGACTTGGACACCTCTGGCGTCTGTGGCATCTGCTCCTCTCTTCCCAAGATTCTTGCGGCCGAACCTCCGTCCTCCCTCACAGGTTTACCTGAGAACTGCAAGGGAGCGCTGAGAACCCTTTGAGTGCGACCTGACACCCAGTGGCCACTCCACCGACATCCCTTGTGGAGCATCAGAAGAAGTGGGAGACCGGTGGCCAGAGCCAAAGGCAGACCCCCCCCCGCCTGACCCCCAACCACTCCCCTAGGCAGGCTGGTCCTGAACAGAAACTCTGACGTGACAATTCATCTAAGAAGCATCATTGTTGAGCTGGGCGTGGTGACACATGCCTATGCCTGTAATCCCAGCACACAGAAGGCAGAAGCAGACAGATCTCTGTGAGTTCAAGGCCAGCCTGGTGTACACAGTAAGTAGTGAGTTCCAGGCCAGCTGGGGCTACAGGGAGACTCTGTCTCAAAAAAAAAGAAAGAAAGAAAGAAAGAAAGAAAGAAAGAAAGAAAGAAAGAAAGAAAGAAAGAAAGAAAGAAAGAAAGAAAAAAAGAAAAAGATGCATCTGTGTATTAAGCACCTACTATGTGCCCTGTGCTGGATAGCAGCATGTCCCTTCACCCTTATCATAGCTCTGTAAGCTAAGGGTACAATGTCAACCCATTTTACAGATGAGAACACCAAGGCTCAGATAAATTCAGTTTCTCATTCCCGCGTTGGACAGAGCACCTACTCAGGTGCCTGCTGGGAATGCTCACAGCCAGGGAGGGGGACACACGGCAATGCTGGCAGGGAAGTCCACATAGCCCAGGGGCACCTGCCTGGTCCACTGTAGCTACTGCAGGGCTGAGTCTCAGAGCAAAAAGGAGCTAAGAGGCTGCAAGCCCCACTGTGAGCAATGATTCAGACTGCTGTGCACGCCTGGACCCTGCCTCCAGGCCATAGTGACAGCCAGACGCTACAGGCAGCTACACAGCTGGTTCGCAGTCCTGCTTGCTTCCCAGGGGCTCCAGGGGACTCTCCTGTCCCAGCCACCTGCAGTTCCAGGTGCCTCTTGGCTTGTGGGCACCTTGTTCTCATCTCTGCCTCTGCCCTGGCCTTACCTGAACCCCCAACGCCTCCCTCTGCTCTGTATTCAGCCGGTGTGTTTAGGGGTACCCTAATCCAGTGATGTCATCTTACTTAGTGACACCTGCAAAGGCCTTATTTCCAAATAAAGTCCTGTTCACAGGTCCTGGGGGTTGGAGGTGAACATCTTTTGGAGGCATAAACTCAACCCAATAAGATCAGGAAGAAGCCACTCAGCGGCCCGCGGGGAGGCCCCAGTGCCTTTGCAGGGCATTTCGTACCAGTCCTCCCAGGACTCTCTGTGGAGGGGACCGTTATGATCTATGCCTTGCAGTGGAGGAAAAGAACTCCTCTGCGTTCAGTCTATGCCCACAGAGCCGAAGCATGGTGTGGCCCCAGTATGCAGCCCTCGCAGCCCCACAAGCCGCCCACCGGTGCCCGCTGCCTGTGCCCACAGGGGGGATGAGGGGATTCTCCGGTCTGGCAGGAGAGACAGGAGGCGCCCAGTGGTGACTGCGCAGCCCTGGAGTGGCAGGTACTGGAGTCTCACACATACTGTGCTGGTGCGAGGCTAGCAGGGATGCCCAGGGTCAGGCACTCCCCACAGGGCACAACCCTCTGTCACCCAGCAACTCCAGCTGGGGAGGAAGGCGCCCGTGGTTCTGCCGACCATGGCTGCCAGCCCCCGGCACAGAGCAAGAGCCCAAACATAGAACTGATTACCCCGTGTGCAAGGAAAAGGGGCGCTCCAGCCTCGGTTTCCTCACCTGCACCAAGACGTTGGGACCGGAACCCCAGATCCACTACGGCCAACGGCCCACGCTGAGCCACCTGCTGGAGATCCTGGGAACTGCACCAACCTGCAAACGGGAGGGCTCACAGCCCGGCCCTGTGACCCTGACTGTGTGGCTGAGTTCCCTCCTCAGGGGCCACTGGCTGTGATGGCAGCATGGCCTAACTGCCTGTGTTAGAGATCACCCAAAGCCCAGCCGGCACAAGGTTACCTGCGTGCGGGGACAAGAGTTGCACACCTCCCGGTGCCCAGCGCGTGCACACTCACACACTTCATTCTCACAGAGACGGAGTCCCACGCTAACACCCACAGACGGACGCGCATGCACACCCACCCAC